GACTGTGGGGTGGTTGAGTGCATTAATTTGGTTTGCTCGTGCAGGGCCACCGTTCAATCACCTTCATTGATGCAATATTCAGGGCTGCATTTTAATGATTAATTTGGTTTATACGAAGACATGTCTTTTGGGTAAATCTACCATGTATTATGTATGGCACGGTGCACCTGTATTCCGCTTCTGTGTTATAAAATATCGACTTTATTATGCAAATGGCTTTGGCGCATCCGGATCCTATAGCGGAATATGGGTGCGTTGCACCGCTCCCATCTATGGTCTTTTGATCCACAAGTGGCGCTACTAGGAATGAGGTTGGAGTACTTCTATCTTTTCAATGGACTTTAATTTGTATGTATACTTATTCATGAACATAGGGAGTGGTAACTAAATTTACAATGCTATCAGCTCTGGAAGTTTTCCCTCCGTCTCTAGACACACCCACGTTGTTTTGGTCGGCACATCGAGCTCCTCAAATCGTCGGCAGAGCATTGTGCAAGCATGGACCAAATCAATGGGCCACGATGTTGTAGATGTGTATAATAGCGCTGGCGTATTAAATGGATCCAACGGCCACCTCTGCCGCGCAGGTCATTAAACTTCTCCGCTCTCTCATTTCACACACACCTCCTACCTTGCACTGCTACAAGGAATTAAAACCCAACTTCTTTGGGCAAAGTTAAAAAACCAACTTACATCGACTTTCTAGTCTTCAATATACCAGCCCGGGATGCATCTTCTATAGATTCAAAGCGTACTAGTAGGAGCCATGGGGAACTTAGCAATATCTACGACACCCCAAATTTGGGCAACGGAGACTCGTGAAACAGTTTTTGACAGCTACGCCCTTATCCTATAAAGCTCACCTTTTTCCTTGGCCTGAGAACCACGTATGTGATGGAGATGCGATGGTAATAAGGCGGACCAAATGATAAATCATACATTTTGCAAGACAATGGCGCGGTGCCTATGAAGAGAATAGAAACCAAACATCTTGTCGTGCTCCGCCGTAAGTTTTCGCACCGAGGCCTTCTATGGAAAAATATGTTAGACCAGTTTTTTTTAGTAAATTTACATATTTCTATTTGTACTTCAATCGAAATATATGTTCATATTTTCTGCCAAAGCTAAAATGATATCAAAACTTACATACCAATCTGTATTCGGAATATTCTAAAATTTTAGAACATTTAGCCCTGAGATACACATTTTCGGCCACATTTTTACTAAAATCACTTGAATAAAATTAGATATATCTGTTTGAACTTCAATAAACATATGGAGTTCATATTTGCTACCGAAGATGAATAGTTATCTAAATTCGGATACCAAACTGTATTTGGAAAATTCTACTGCCTCTGATCCAAAACAAGTATCGCAGCTTTAAATTAAGGTTAGTTAAACCTTAGCTCAAAGATGCGACACTTATTATGGGTCGGAGGGAGTACAGTTTTTGATGGAAAAAGACTGAAATTATGTGGTTGTGCGATATTGGCAAGCAGCTGCCGATCAACTATCCACTTTCAATGTGACACAACATAACTTTCTTGTTATTTTTCATACCATAAGCATTTAGTCCACGTACTCCAAGCTGAAGGCTATCACTAAAATTTACTAAAACTGCAAAAGTAATTGATAACATAGACTTACATTGACATCAATTTTGTAATATTCAAACAGTGTCTGATTAAAGGTTTTAATATCCAATCTAAAATGCTTGAAACAATAAGAAAAATCCGTGCAACTTATAGTTGCAATGCAGGCAGTGAATAAATCTCTCAATCAGGAAATGAAAAAAAATTGTTTATTGCCGCAAGTTATGTTTGCTTATTTTGGTCACATTACATTATTTCTTTCCTGAACTGATCTTGCGATTCTGTCAATTCAAAAACACAAAAACAACATATTATAGTTAAAGGCTTTACCAACCGTCATCGTGGGGAAAGTCATCGTCAAAACTGTTTTTTATAAACTAAATAAGCATCATCTTTTTTTCCCTGAAAAGTTAGCCATGATTGTCTCTTTTTTTCATGTGGATGAGGATACAACATAGAAAAAGATAATTGATCATCCTACGGTTACTGAAGCCATTACAGATCGAGCTATGTTGAGATGAAAAAGGTCAAACTTCAGTATAAATGCTTATATATAAATATATTTAAGGTATAGTATATTTTTGGAAAAATTCAAACACCTGACTCAAATTAGCATGGAGAGAATATGTCCATCCGTGCGCCTCCTGTAAATAAGGAGAAAATTCTATTATTCACATGGTCCACCTGTAGTGAAAAGTAGATATTAACTTTCTATTTGTGCAAGTATTTAGTGCCGTAGTCCACTCAGCTTTGTTATGTCATACCCTGTCAGAACGCCGGTTTATTACTGTGATTCGATCCATAATTACAAATTACAAATTTATAACAAACAATTTTAGGGTGTGTTTTGTTGAGGAACCAAAATGAGTGAAATGCCATAGTCCCATTCCTAGTAAATTGTTGGGGTTCATTCCTACGTCTTGCTTGGAGCAACAAACTGGAATGGAATGCTTTCCCAGTCTTGCATATATCAAAAGTGCTGAATAACATGCGCACGCAAGTAGAGCTGATCAGCTGAGTATACAATCCATATATCAAAATTCCACATGGTACAAAGTACAGCATACTCGGGGAGTGGAGGAACAACCAAACTCGGGCCGGCCATGCACAGCTGCTTGACGTACGTACTCCTCTCTCTCTCACGCAGTGAGATAATATGAGAGCATTTATTCATATATATGTGTGTGTGTGCGTGTGTGTGACCTCAACATACTAAGCGTAGATCCAGCAACGATGGCGCAGGGGACGATGGCAACAGCGATGGCAGCAAGTGCTCGATCAGCGAATCTTAGAGCAGTCGACCGAAGAGCTGATGGCGTAGGGGACGCTAACGCCGCACTTTGTGGGGATGCCCGCGGCCTTGCCAGCGTTGAGCCCAGCAGCAGCGCTCTTGATACACTTGCACGCCGCTTGCTTGTCAGCGGTGCTCCGGGCTGAGCTGGCTAGACTCCTAACGCCGCTGCAGCAGGCCGCAGACGGGTTGGCGCCGTTGCCGCGTGCATAGGAGATGCAGGGGCTCAAGGCAGAGCTCACCTGACCGCACGATACGGCCGCCTCCGTGGCTGCGAGGAGCATAGCGGCCACCACGGCGACGAGCACGACCTGAGCAACAGCAGAATGGGCCATCACGATCAAGCTAGCTAGCACTAGTAGTGGTGGTGAGCTCAGGCAGAGATGATGAAATAGCTAGATTTGCTAAGTGACTGTAATGGTGAGGAGTTTCGTGGGGATGCATGGGCTTAAATAGGGCTTCTTGGTGTCGAGTATTGTGTCTACGTGTGCCAATTCAATTGATACCAGCAAATGCATGAATTTAGGTTGTTGGATGTTGGAATTGATTTATGGGTGTTAATGCATTTAGGAGATGATTGGTTGTTACCGTTTGGTTGGGCCGATGGATGGACCAAGCACTACATCCAGGCGTTCTAGCGGTGGAATGTGGTTGATTAGCGCAGCAGATTAATTATGAGACTAAGACATGTACGCAGTCATATAGTGGCCGACCATGGAGTAGTTGAGTGCATCTATGATGGTGAGCACGACCATTGAACTGTGCATATACGTACGTCATCATTTTTACCCAAAATACGCTCTGGCCTACCGAATCCAATAGCTCAGCTTGCAAGCGGAAACCAGATTTGCTTCCAATAGAAGCACAGCCGTGCATCTCGAAAAAGGGAAAAAAATGTTTTTTCCATCCACAAGAGGTACTGATTTACTTCTTGTGGAGTCATGAATTTGTTATGTGAGAGGGAAAAATCATGGATTTTTTGACCATGAGAGGCACTAATTTACTTCTCGTGGAGGCACGGATTTGCTTTCACGACAAGCACGACCATGCATCTCAAAAAAGACAAAATATGTTCTTTTCCTTCCACGAGAGGCACTAATTTAGTTCTCGTGGAGGTGCGGATTTGCTTCCGCGAGAAGCTTGGTCATGCTCTTGGAAAGGGAAAACCGTGCTCTCGGTTCGGGGTTTTTTCGTCCGATTTTTTCGTGAAAAAAAGTTCGTCGAAACCTATCAACATACGATCTAGTTTTGAAGATCTCGATGCGAGGAATCCAACGGTGAAATGGTTCAGGATTTGGACACATGGTTGAGAGATAAAACATTTTGAATAAAAAATCTACGAAAAAGGAAAAATCCCAGGTTGCGACAAGTGGCGCACATGCAGTTCAACACATGTTGCACCATGCGAAGGTGTGAGTAACATTTACAAAGAGTACTCCTTCATCAGTGATTTCGGTAGTTGAGTGCATTAATTATGATGAGCTCGACAAATGAACTATATCAATCTAGTTGTGCATGTGGTCATGCATGCCTGGGGATCATCTACCTTGCCTTACTTGGTCCCAATATCACAGCTTAACATTCATTGGTACCATATTCAGAGCTACATTCCGAATTTTTATTTGTACATCATGCATGTTTTCTTAGAAGGTGATCCCACGATTCTAGCAACTCAAAAACACAAAAGGACACATGTTCATGTTAAGACCTTGATGTCCATCATCTTCTTGGTCGTCGTTACTATTATAGTCATTATTGTTGTTGTTGTTGTTGTTGTTGTTGTTACAATTTATTTGTGGGGAATGCCATTGCCAGTCTTGTTCTAAGAGAAAACAAAGGAACACTATCTCTTGTTTCCTCACAAGATACGCTTGCCAGTCTTTTTCGTGTGTGCACCACCTTCAGAAACGAAATTGATCGTTCCACGTTAACTCTAGTAATATATCAATGGAACTAAGTTGGTACGAAACCGGACGACATTCGATCTAAATGCATGTATAAATATATTCTTAGTTAATATATTTTCAGTTGTTTTACAAATACACATTCTAAATTACCACAAAGCAAAAATGTGCACTTGGGAGACTTGTAATTCAGCACCAAATGTCAATGTCCCCTTGGTTCACCTGGAGTGAATAGACGTTAATTTGCCTCTGTGCAAGTATTCAGTGCCATAGTCCACTCGGCTTTTTTTTAATGGTAAGTGCCTCATCCGTCAATGTAGCAGCATGTCTCATGGTGATTTACTACTGTCGATGGATGCATCATTAGAGCATCTCCAACCACAAACAACACTAAGAAGACCCCCAAAACACCCGCGGACGCGTCCGCGGACAGTGACCGGACAGCACACCAAAAACGTCCGCCACAACCACAAAACTCAAATTTCGTACCTCCGTACCCAAATAGCACAGCCATGTAAATAAAAACCGATGTACTACATACATAGCTAAAAGAACTATTGTCGAAGATGTTGACGGTCTCCTTGCCTGGGGCTAGGTAGATGGGAAAGTGCGGTAGCTCCTGCGCGTGTGAAGACTCTATCCCCTCCTCCACCTCCGCCTTCCCGTCCAATTCGATGAACAGTGCTTCCATCGCCGCCTGTTTTATTCCGATGAACTGTCGGTTAGCCTCGACATAGACCTCGTCCAAGATGGAATCATGGACGGCGGTCTGTTCTACCATCTCCATCACTTGGGCGGCCTCGTACTCCACCTTGGCATCCGCCACAGTGAAGCACGCAGACAGCCACACCTCCACCTACTCCCCTCTGGCTCCGCTGCCTCCTTCTTCACGGGCTCTGCTTTCGACAGCTGCTCCCCCTCCTCCTTATCCTCCTCCTCCTGCCCCACTTGCTCCTCTTCATCCTCCTCCTCATCCGCCACCTCCTCCTCCATGAGATAATACGAAGGCTTTTATTCGTGTGTGTGTGTGTGTGTGTGTGTGTGTGACCTCAACATACACATGGTGACCATTGGTTGATCAGCAAATCTTAGAGCAGTCGATGGAAGAGCTGATGGCGTAGAGGATGTTGACGCCACACTTGGAGGAAATGTCGGCGGCGTTGCCAGCGTTGAGCCTACCGGGAGCGCTCTTGATGCACCACTACAAGAAATATGTCAACTAATGACCTTCTGTCAGTGACCCTGGAAGAATTGGTCATAGATCTATGACCATTTGAGACCAATTGGTCAAAAGCTGTTCGGGGGGCTCCAAACCCTAAACCATTGCGACCATTTTGATCAAAAAGGTCGTAATTTCCTTACACGAAATGGTCACAAAGCAAACAAGGCTGGTCCACTGCCTTATTTCTAGTTGTTAATGACCAATATAGATGGCCATAGCCTTGTAGATTGTGGTGAGTTGTGATGACTAGGCGCCATCTCATCAGTTTTGCCTATGTGTCATGTCCATGTGTCAATTTTTGCCCTAGGTTGTGAAGCAACCTATATTTCTGTTATTCCAAAAATTCCCAAATAATTCTCATAAATTGTTTGGATCATATCTTCATCAAATCTGCCAAAAACCTTCCTTTCCTAGTTCAAAAATAACTCAACAATATTCATTTTCCTATTTTGTTTAGAGTAGCAGTTTGTGAAGGAAGTACCACTTTGGCATGTCCAAATAGTATCCATTTTCTACAGTGCTTTCCTATGCCCAAATAACCATCCTCCACCAAATGCTAGCTCAATCCATTCATTATTTTGAGCCGAGCTTCAACATTTGTAGTTATGTCCATTGTGGTAGTTTGCAAAGCAAGTACCACCTAGGCTCCTCCTTTTGAGCTGAAAATTTGTGAAGACGGTAGAGGCCGTAGCATCGGAGGATTTGTGGATTTGGCATTTCTTTTTTGGTATGCCGGGCACTCTCAATGATATCAATGTGTTGCAACGGTCTCATTTCTTTGCTAGGCTTGCTAGTGATGATGCTCCGATCCTGCTCGCAACTACACTATCAATGGGCATGAATACACAAAGGGGTACTATCTTGCAGATGGTATATACCCTCCTTGGTGCACATTTGTCGAGAGCATCAAAGAACCCAATACAAAAAAAAACAAAGTGAATTTGCAAGGGTGCAAGAGCCAGCCCGAAAAGACATTGAAAGAGCATTCGGTGTTTTTCAATCTAGGTTTGACATTGTCCGTGGTCCTGCTCGTTTTTGGGATAAGAAAACCTTGAGGAACATAATGACATGTTGTGTTATCCTGCACAATATGATTCTTGAAGATGAGAGAGGATTGAACTTAGAATTCTTTTACGACAATGTGGGTAGCCGTGTCAAACTAGTAAGAGACCCAAACGGCATTAGAGCTTTTCTTCAGACATACAAGGAGATTGAAAATGCAGACACCCATTTTCAACTTCAGGAAGATCTCATTGAGCACCATTGGCAAATGGCTGGGCAGTGACTTATTTTTGTATTCATTTCTATTTGTATTCATGACAAATTTTGTATTGCACTATTTAAATTTGCTACAGCTATTTGAATAATTATTTGTAATGCGGATGATTATTGTATTATGTTTGATTGGAATAATTCAGTTTATTTTCGATTGTTGAATTATGTTGTATTTGATATTTGTGGGCGGATGATATGCGGGATGCAGCAGCGCAAAGAGCAGGTCTGCATCTCTGCCAGCCCGAGCCGACCTGTAAAAGCTGTTTTGCACGAACTGCAAACACGTTTTGCGGGCCGGCGGGATGCGGGGTCTGCTAGAGTTGCTCTTAGCAATATCTACGACACCCCAAATTTGTGCAACGGAGACCCGTGAAACAGTTTTTGACAGCGAAGCCCTTATCCTATAAAGCTCACCTTTTTCCATGGCGTGAGAACCACCTATGTCATGGAGATGCGATGGTAATAAGAAGGACCAAATGATAAATCATATATTTTGCAAGACAATGGCGCGGTGCCTATGAAGAGAATAGAAACACAACATCTTGTCGTGCCCCGCCGTAACTTTTCGCACCGAGGCCTTCTCGGGAAAAATATGTTAGACCAGTTTTTTTTAGTAAATTTACATATTTCTATTTGTACTTGAATCAAAATATATGTTCATATTTTCTGCCAAAGCTAAAATGATTTTGAAACTTACATACCAATCTGTATTCGGAAAATTCTAAAATTTTAGAACTTTTAGCACTGAGATAATTTCTGAGATACACATTTTTGGCCACATTTTTACAAAAATCACTTGAATAAAATTAGATATATCTATTTGAACTTCAATAAACATATGGAGTTCATATTTCCTACCGAAGTTGGATAGTTATCTAAATTCGGATACCAAACTGATTTGGAAAATTCTACTGCCTCTGATCCAAAACAAGTG